GCTATCATGCATATTTTTCGTCTATTAGTAGCAGTTCATTATTACCTTATACAATTGTATGTATGTAAATACATACATATGTATGTATGTACTTACATGTATGCACGTAATGTAATCAATCGCTTTCTCGGCCTATACGTTATCTGCGACGGATCAGTGGTTTACAAATCTCTACAAACCTTGTGTATATATATATATACATACATAGATCAAAATACGTTAGGGTGCCCCAGAAAAATTCTTTCGAGAAATTCGATAAGAAATAGGTAAGCACCTTACGAGGTAATCCATATTTTCTTGCTAGAATTGTCATCAGGACCAATGTCATCTATTAGTATCTAAAGCACAAAATGAACACCTCCGATGACGCCTTTCGTTGTATGTAAGTTGCAAATAACGTGTCGCCGAAGTTATTTCCGATCGCCGAACTACTCCGAGCGACTGCTCTACATTCTACGTACCTTACTTGGTAAATCGGCTCAGAAGTATGTATGTCTGACACCAAATGTACATTCTAAATTCCTACTTCCATAAGGCGGCTGCGCCTATGTTAAAGTAAGGGATATTTGACGGAACAGTGGTAAGGACCGCCGGGTGAACTGTAAGTTTCTGGTATGGCGTTATTACATATCAAGTTTTATTACTGTAGGATGACGATAACCCGTACTGGCTTGAAATTTTAGCTACGAAGTTATACCGAAGCTACCACACATAAAAGTGAAGCTTAATCGCAATAAATCTACGTTTTTAGTTTGCGGTGACTTGAAACGACTTATTTTGAGTATTTTATAGTAGTTCTTCGTATTCTTTCCAAAATTATATCGCTCAGCTACTAAACCAAACCCTGTACAGTAAGGCCTTAAGCAACATTCACCGAAAGACAACCACCACTTTTACCAATTCTCGCCACGTGAATGCCGTCATCGGAGTTAAACCAACTGCCATTGCAGACGAGGAGCTTGAGCTGCATCGAGAAATCCGCGAGCTTCTGGAGCAATTATGGTCTGGATATTGTAAGAGGTTAAACTCATACTGGTTCCATTAAATCCACTAAGCTGACAGCCCTCTGCCTGTGGTCCGAGTACGTTTCCTGCCAAGCTAACTATAATATGAATAAGCTGCCGTAACTGACTGTCAGAAAATGAACGAAAAGTCTGTCAAATGCATAAGCAACGTAGTGTAGACTTTTAGGTGGCTATATTTTACTTACATGAGTGAGTGTCGTTCGAATGGACACCGACGCTCCAGCTCTGAAAGTATTCAACTCGGAACCCGCTGGTGGTAGCAGAGGAAGAGGGACGCCCCCACTGCGATGGAAAGATCAGGTGGAGAAGGACTTGGCTTCACTTGGCGTTTTCAATTGGCGTCAGTTGGCACAGAGGAGAAACGACTGGCGTGCTTTGCTGAGCTCGGCCAAAATCGCATAGGCGGTTACAGCGCCAAAAAAGAAGAAGAAGATAAATAAAGAAAAAAAATACCAATTTCGGTAAAAAAACCAATGCGGCAACACTGCATGTGTTACATATGTACATACATACGTACGAGGACAAACAGCTGATCCCGTATATTCATATTATAGTTAGCCCTTAACCTATATTATTTATGTAAAAAAAAAAATTTGACGTAAGGCGTATCGAATTTCTCAGAAAAAAATTCCCTCATTATTTTCTGAGATACCCTAATGTACATACAATATTTTACTAAATGCTGCAAAACGCGAACTATAAAATTATCAGAGCAAAAAAGTTATAAATCGTAGGCAAATTTTTGATAACGTTAAAATCCTGAACAGTACAGTTTTTTGTGAAAAAATGCCTCTTCATGCCATGACTTTTCAAATTTTAATACTGCTACTGATTTCAAATACTCTCGGTTGATATTGCTTTGATTTATCTCCCGTGACAGTGGGCCTCATGCATAAAAAGTGACTCAACTTCCAATACAAATTCTTGAACATGACTTCACTTCTCGCGTTGCTAGGGTTTTAGCGGAGCGGGGTACGTCACTAAGGTGCTAACTTGCAAAACTCATAGTCATTTAATTTTACTTGCAAAGCAATAATAAAGTAATTAAATCATTGATCATAACATTTGTTGTTAGCGTGACTATTTCTAATTTTATTATAAATGCATATGTACATATCGCTAGCTTACAGTGAAAACTTGCTAAGTCCCACTTTAAAAGTTTTCCAGGACTGGAAAAAACTTCTTATAGACATTTTCTTCAAGTATTTCGCAAAACTTTTAAACAATTTTTCCTATTCAAAGAAAAGCAAAACTTCATACGAATCAGAGGATTCGATCTTTATCTTCTTCTTTATTAAAGGATTTCGCACTATTTTGACTTTATCGGATTTTCGGTGCTTCTTTTTGCTTAGTCAAATTTTCCTTGCCTTGTGTATAAACGAAATATGAATTTTCTTAAAAAGTGGACTTAGCAACTTTTCATTCTAAACTAGCGATGTGTACTTTTTAGAGGCATAACCAACATAGCATATTGACTAAAAAGTCAAAGGTTGAGCCAACAACCTCATCAAATCTCGTAACTGATCGTTTTCCATAATAGTCGCACCTAGATAAACCTCAGTTTTGTCATTAAAAATTCAAGATAATTTTTAGTATATACTCGGCTGTAATCTTTCTGTAAAGTAGGCTCGATATTATCGGCACGTTTACATAGATTTACATAAGGGTGCCTCACCAAAAAATTACAAACAATTGGGCACATGTATTTTACCAGGGCTGCAAACCGGTTTTGAACCGAATCGTTTTTATTTTGGAAAAGCCGAATCCAAGTGGAAAGAACACTCTAAAAAATTTTTCTGTTCTGTTTTTTTTTTGTCCTTTTCTATTATTGAATTTTATTTGCTACTGCTTTGTAAATGTACAATAATCGAATGATAAGAGTTTTAGTTTGAGTTGATGATCGTGCTGACCTCTAGAAAAAAAAGATGTATCATTCGAACCGAACCGAACCGAACCTCGGCTCACAGATTCTTATTAACCGGTTCTGGTACCTGTACAAGCGTTTCTAAGTGGTTCAAAGCCCTAAACCGAACCGCATCGACTTTAGGACCAAACAATTTTAATTCAATATAGGGGTTATCAGAGACATGAAGCGCGTTGAAAATAAATTTTGAGTGTGCGTTTTCATTAAAAAGACTTTCACGTTACTGTCAAATTTTCTTTGCAAATAAATATTCTTCGGCAATCGAGTAATTGTGAGCTCATAATACGTACTTATCTGCCATTAAACTGTGAAGGCTTGTTTTAAATATTGATCACTTTGAGTTGGTTTAATCAAACATGTGTTGGCTTTATCCAAACATGTGAATAATTGAGTTGTTCAATGTTCCGAATTCCAATCTGAAGCATAATTACTAATTTAATTATTTAGAACATTTTAGTAGAAATTCGAAAAAAATTAGAAGAGATATCTTAGGTGTACATACATACATGCAGTGTTTCATGTTTCGCGTCAAGTGTAGGAAATTATTCGGATATCCTGAAAGTAATCGACCTCGGGAAAAAAGCTTGCGAACCAAAGAAATACAAACTTATGGCGGACGACCCGGTCTAATGTACATACATGCATGTTTACATAAAGTTTAATTATGGCATCATAAAAGGTGCTTCAAAATTTACGCAAGACTTGAAATAAACAGACACAGGTTTGTTTTTTTTAATTGTTTCTCATTTAAATATAAATTGTATAGCCCATTGGGCAAAATTGAGCTACGGCTTTACTGGAGCATCGGAAATCGTCGAATTGTGTTGTTGGTCAAAATTTTCCTCATTCTCAAAAAAGTATGGTCCAATAAAGGCGCCAGCTCAAAATCCGCACACAGTGTACTAGTGTACTATTAAATAAATAACCTTAATTGTGGTGGCTATGATGATTAACTTGTTGCGCGTAAGTGTCTTCAAAGCCGTCGGGCTCATTTGGCCGATATGCTATTCCAGACATTGCCTTATCTTATGTAGGTACTTTATGTAAAAAAAAATCATTAAAAAATGTGTTTTCTATTTAACTAAAATCTTGTGACACCCTTTATTAGCGTGCACAAGTAATGCAAATTAGAGTAAGCAATTCATAGAGTATAAAATGAGGCAGAACAAGTAAAACTCGGCTGCCAATCAAGAATTTATGCAACGATGAAAAAGCAGTTTTTTTTTTAAGACAAAGTAAAAAGTAAAAAAGGGCTTATTGGAGTACTGTGCATAAATACTACATAAAAAAGCAAATAAAAGTAAAAAAAATCAATAAGATTATTCAAGGGAAAGTTTATTAGCAATAATTATAATTAAGGCGAGTACAGAAAACAATAGACATTGAGAAATATTCCAAACAAGTGGTTTCTTATCAGTAATACCACAACAAGTAAATTAAACTAACACAAAAAAAAACAAATTAGTTTTAAGAAATACAAGTTTAATGCTGGAATAAAATTTCTAGCTATAGAATTTCACGCATACGTAACAAAACGAAGCTTAGAAAACCAAAAATGTCCCACTGTCTTTATTGTTCTGTACCCTTGTGGATGAAGTTCGGATTTTTGTCCGTTTACCGATTCCATTTTCGAATACTTTCGCGATCCGTTTTCGGGGCTGCACTTTTTCCTATTCTTTATGGAATAAATTTCCATGGTTTTCCATTAAAAAATTAGGGCCTTTCTCTATTAATGTAATGATATGTATGTAAATGGCGGAAATGCCACAAATCAGGTGACTCAGCTGTAGATATTTTTGGACAATCAGTTGACAGTGTTTTTACTTAGTAGGTTGTGCGATGCAAATTTTAGAAACAAAAAAAATGTTGTTGAATCTTTTTGGAAAAGATGTACTTTTAAATTTCTTTGTTTTCTGCATTAAAATTTAATTTTTGATAAAAATATTGTTTTCCCCTAAGCTATCGATATATCCTACATTCCAAACGATTCCATTTGTAAATATCTGATATACAGAAATTATAATTGCATTTTTTGTTTCGATTTTTTACAGTGCCCCACGTCCTGTCTTCAAAAAATCTGCTTCCAATGGACGACAAATAGAAGAAGTTTCATTAACACCGCAACATGAGGAAATTGTACAATACATCAATGACTGTAAGTATAAAAAAAAAAGATGAATGAGGAAGACAGAAATAAGACTAAGTGCATTTAAGTGCGGGACAATAATATATACATACATACATATGTAGATATACAGTGGCGGATTTATCGTACAGGCAACATAGGCTGAAGCCTAGGGCGGCAGAATTAAGGGGCGGCGAAATTTAAGACAGCTAAATTAAAAGAAAAAAATTTATTTGGATTCAGCTGCACTTGAAATTGTGTTTGTGTCTGTAAAATATTATTAATGATTCATCTCATTCAATACAATTCAAAATTAGAATTACGCTGCGAATTTTTCCTTAGTATAGCAGTCGTTGAAATTTCCATTTAACTTTCATTCACGCGGCTTAGAAACCTGACGGCGCGCCTGCGCGTGACGCAAAGAAACAGCCGACACGCTGCCCCGAGAACGAGAATCATCTAAAAGGTTACCACACTTGACAACACTGCCGAAAAACGAGCGTGCATTTTCGAGAAAATTCTTGATTCCAAGCCCACCAGTTTTTCATAAGTGTATCATAACGTGAATAATCTGAAGGTCAGCTTCCGTCGTATGTCAAATTAGGCAGTGTATCTGTGTATGGTCTTGTGTTTGTCTTGTGCGAGGTCCATGCTGATGTCGAATTTGTTAATTCCGTTATGTATTTCATTATTAACGAACTATATTGTGATAAAGCACTGCCAATAACAATCATATTTGATATATATATATATATTTTTTTTTCGTGAAAAAAGGGCGGCAAGTTATGAATTGCCTAGGGGCGGCAAATATTTAAATCCGCCACTGTAGATATAATAAAAAAGCAAAGCCACTTGAGAGATATGTATGTATGTAGTTATTTATGGATGTACATATGTACTCAAGTATCATATTACAAGATCATTGTCTTAGACAATAAATTGGGAAAATAATAAAATAAGAACATTATTTCATGGGATTTTTTTTTTTTTTAATTTTTGGTCGTTCTTGCTAAGTTTCAAGTTAAGTCTACCTATTCTCTAATTTAATAGTTTATTTTGACAAATTGATAAGAAAAATGTATGAGTATACGGTGGCGAACGGTGGAGAGAATGTAAAGAAAGAAAAGATATTTTAGCGAGGTTTGGCTACTTTTCTTTGCTTAAAAAATTTTTCTAATTTTATGAAAATATAGCCTACTATGAGCCATCCACAATTCGCAGAGTTTTGCGCTTGACTGATGAATCCGTATCTACCAAGTAAACTCCGTCGATAACCGATCGACTACTTGCCGTGCATTTCAGCGATTACTTTTACCAGGCAATGTCTTAGGCGCTAGTCACCATCGGCTCTCTCTGCACTACCGGGAGTTACTAAAGTAGTTAGTTCAAGATAGCGTTATGTTCTTAAGTATTTTAAAATTATTTGCCATGTACATATTTTTTATTCTGCTCAAGAAAATGGGGTTAAAATTCTTAAATAAAGCAATAACAAAATTCGTTTTTTACAAGTTAAGTTATAAACATTCATACATATGCATTTCAATATTATAATTAACATAACTTGCATAAAAATAATGAATATCTCTGATCATCAACAGCTTGGAATGTCATTGTGGCGCATAATCCCTACGATTCAGCGTTTGATGGCAATGGGCATGCTCAACCGGCGGACTCCAACAACAACTCTGGTTAGTGTAAATTTGAATTTGTAATTTGAAAATTTTAATAATTAACTCATCATTAAATTGATATTGCCAATATATAGCCGGCTCATCCATCGCATCCACCTCAACATCATCCGCTGCCTCATCGGTGTGTACTTCACCACAACCGACCGCATCGATTTACTGCATCGAACCGCCCAGCCCAGTGTTGAGCGATTTCAAGCCATTCGACTTAGTGACCTGGTGGTATGATCGCCTCTGTGATGTAAAGAGCACGTGAAGTGTGACCAACTAAAATGTATGTGCGTGTGTGTGTGCGGGCGTGCGTGTGTGTGTATGCATGTATGTGGCCAAATATTGTGAGACCAAGCACGTGCAACGAAGAGCAATTGCGATAAACAAAAACGAACAAAATACAAAAAAGAAAAAAAAAAATTAAGAAATATTTACTACTACCAAAAAGTGACCAAACTAAAAATTTAAAGCATTCACATTAGGAAAATTGTAAAAACATTTAGCCTGTTAGTCGCCGAAATGCAGCGTAATTAACATACATACATATGTACATACAAACGAAACATGTGTAAATACATACAATGGCATACGTAACAAAAAATAGCTAGTATTTACATAGTTAAGGTTTTATGTTTAGCATACAAAAAATTATGCCTCTTAAATTATAAAGTTAGTTGTTACAGTTCTAAAGTAATCAAGTTTACATAACAAACTATGTATGTTAATTTTTTAATTTTCAATTTCACGAAAGCAAAGAAAATTGCAATTAAGCAATAACGAACATTTTACGTGCTCACAAATATTGTATATATAAATGTAAATGTACATGCATACATTTAGATAAATATTAATGAACATACATATATGTATGTATATGCATAAAGCAGCTAACAAAATAGACAAGCAATTAAAATCCAAAGATAACTAGGCACATTTCTATCAATAATCTACAATACCTACGAAATCTCCAATGTTTTTCATATGAATGTGTATTTGTAAGCACATAAATACATACATACAGTCACTCACAAAAGTATTCGTAATTTAGTATTTTCACAATATTCAAAATGCTTACCATCACAAATCTTTTTCGTTAACTTTCATTTAAAATATAGCTCATTCTATAACAAAAACCAAATAAATTATTCTTGCAGACTTTGTACAAAATTTATAAAAATGAATCAAAATTAAAAAAATTGTCATCAAAATCTGATTTTTTAGATTTTTTTTGTTGGGCATTTTCTTCCATATAAAAGTAGATTTTGTTCATGCCTTATATGGAAACAAATGCGCAAAACCCTCGACAAGAAAACTTCTAAAAAATCAGCGGTAATTTTTAGCTACTTGAAGCTTGCATTTTATTATACTAAAATTGAATGGGCTACAAAACTGCATACCGTAAATTTTTCTAAAAATTCTGAATAAAAAGTTTAAAATTTTGATGAAATTTTTTTTAAGTTTGATTCATTTTTATGATTTTCTATAAAGTTTGCAAGAATGAATTATTTGGTTTTTGCTATAGAATGAGCTATATTTTAAATAAAAATTAACGAAAAATATTTATTATGGAAAACAATTTGAATATTGTGAAAAAAATAATTTACGAATACTTCTGTGAGTGACTGTATGTACATATCGCTCATTTTCTTCAATAGTGCCATAATCCAAAATAATACAAAATCGAGTTAAGTATGCAGAACTGTGACAGCTTCCTGTTCCTCTACGGTGTGTAAAAATTTCATAGCTGTAACGATTTGTTTTTGTGAGTTATGACAGTATCGAACTAAATGAGCGATATGTGCATATGAGAATCAAGAACAAACTTATCTAACAGAATGTTTCGAGTTTTCCCAATTGCATTGAGCAAAATAATACCAACAATTAACTTGACTGTAAGATAAATTATGTACATAAATACATACATATGTACATGTGTACAAAGCAGTAAAATAGGTACCTATCGCTTATTTACTAAAAGACTGTTATAACTCCAAAACGAAATATTTGAGCAAATGATGCAGAATTATTTGTTATATGTGACCTGGTCTACGGGAAGGGGGCTTAGGTGTCAAAAAATCAATTTTCACTTTTTGGTTGATTCGGATGGAAGATGAGATGCTTTTTCACGTGGTGAAAAGCAGAAAATCCTAACTTGCTTAGAAGTGTACTAAAAATGTAGGGAAAGAAGAGTAAAAATACGATGAAATATAATTTATTGGTAATGAACAAAATACATTGAATTACAAGCTATAAAGACATGATTATACACTAGAAAAACGTATTATGGGCCAAAAATAATAATGCTGAGTAGTTTATGTATTTTTCTTTGTTGTCGTTTTCCTTGAGATCTTTTTACGTGTTGATCCTGAGGAAGATGGACCTGGTTCCTCGTCTGGTTTGAGAACATCTTCACTAGTTTTTGCCTTCCGTTTCTTCGATGGCAAATCTTTCGGCAATGGAGCCACAATATCTACTTTAGATATATCCAAAACTAAGCTGCGAAGATTGTGATAGATGTACCACTGACGTTCCAAAGATAAACCGGCTGTTGTATAACTTTCGGCATTTCAGGATCGATAGGTTTTAACAGAAGCTTAAAGGACTGCACTTCTTCACTGTCTGCGAATTTCCTTGTTTTTACACAATCTGTAGAGATTATGAAATTAAGGAATTGCGTTATTCCAACAAGTGACTTGTACAGTGGTTTAAAATAGCTGTCCCATTCATACCAGACGACTTTTTCAGCCGATACAGCTTTATTATAACCCCCAGGTGATGATGCCTCGACACACTGCAGTAAATCTGCATACGTGTCGATGTTACTGACGGCATACTTACTTTTGAAAATACCGAAGTAACGATCAGGCGCGAACTTACTGTGCCCGGTAAGTAGAAAATTGAATAAAATAGTTTTGTTATGACCCCGAGCCAAACACCATTGCAGATATGATAGTACAGTGTTATTCTTATTCTGCCCAACACAATTGTCACAGAAAAGAACGAGTGTTTCAATGTCTTTATAGTAGGTTTGCAGGTGATAATGCAGGATGCTCACAACACAGTTAGGTCCTTTACCAACATCATCATTCATCATCCTTTTCATGGAAATATTGTCCGTATACGGCACTGAACTCCTCATCAACACTCATGTTTCATTTCATGCGAAATGCGAAGACGATAATCAACAGAAACAGTAAACGTCACTTCTTCAGTGTTACTTTTTTAAATGTTCCACACTAGCAACTTACACGATGAACTATAATAATATTCCGACCAACAACAACACTTACTGGACCAACAACAACACTTACTGGACCAACAACAACACTTACTGGACGTCCGGCGCGGAGAACAATTAACGAGATAATGAGAAACTGACGAAACGAGTTGCTTACTTTTAACAGCTTTTTCACAGAAAACTAGTTTTCGCACGTAAGCTCCCTTTTCGTAGACCAGGTCACATATAAAGTACGATTGTGTAGTTTCCGCGTAAGAAGGCAATAATCATCTCGTGTTCCTCGTGTTGGTGGGCAAATTGAAAAATTGATGTGCGTCTCCTGAAAATTTTAGTTTTTTGAGCTATGACTGTCTTTTAGTAAATTATATGTAAATGCTTCATACAAAAATCGTAAAATCAAACTTCCATTGACTGATATTTTCTAATGCCGGATTACCACTGGTCATTAAATGACAAAAACATTTAATGACAAAAAAAAAGTCATCAAGTCTGTTTCCACATGCCATTTCGTCGATAAAGAGAAAACCCATTGTGTTAAATTATGATTTTAAGCAGACAAAATAAAAAATAAAACCTAAACAATTATACAACACATGAAAATGCACAATAACACCATCTGCCTTATTTGTAACATAGTGTAAAATTATTTAAAAAATGTTCAAACTCTAGATTCAATGGCCCGTAGTCATAGAGAAGTTAGAAAAAGGTTTTAACGATAAAAATTGTTTTTTATAGTAATCACCATTTTAACTCTTTCATAGTCAACTTAAAATGCATTTTATTTTATTTTTGATTTTTCCATTTTTTAATATAACTATTACTTTATTTTATTAGATTTTATTTTATTTATTTATGGTATTTCACACAATTATACAAAGTTAATCAAATTCTTTGGAGTTTAATTTTAATTAAAAAGTCAAAATAACTATATTTACAAAAAAAAATTTAAATAATATTTGAACAAAAAAAAAGACGTAAAAAAAATGTTTCCTGACTGTGGAATCGAACCCACGACTTCGCAGCGTGCTAAATGAGCAATCCTGCAGCGGACACAGGGTGAACTAATAAAATATTTCTTTATATTGCCGAGTAAATTTTTTCTCTGTTCTCTTCATTTAACAAAAAGCTGTTTCTAAGATGTCTATGATTGACACAATTTTAATTCGATTCTAAGCTTAAAACCTTAATTTAACAAAAATTAGTTTTAACTTACGCCTATGACTTATGGGCCACGTTTTTTAACCAACTTGAAATCAGTAGCAAAAAATTTACGCCAAGGTGTAGAACAGTTTTGCAGACACTGTAGCCGCGCACAGTTTGAGTGTGACGAATAAAATTTTAGCAGCCACTCTTTATTTGTTTTTCTTCAGCACCGCTAGAGGGTCTATTTGCTATAAAAAAAAATTATAGTAATTGACAGTTATCAGGACGTAGACGCAAGGATATTTTGAGAAGCAGTGCTATTTTCATAAACATTGAGTTAAGAGCATGTAAATATGCTGATTATATTTAACACACTTAGCAATAAATGCAGTGCATTCTCGTTAATCGCAACTAAACTTATAAGCTGACATATATGCCGCTGTTACTAGTTCCTAGTTCCTAGTTTTATTTATCAAATTTAGGGATTTTTTTTTTTTGCTCTGAATACGTCCTTACTATAACCATCCACAGGAACATTAGTGCCGAATTTCTATTAGGCATTCAAATAACAAAAAGTTTCTGGCATTTACAAAATTTTTTGTGCAAAGGGATTAATTAGTAAAATTGCCTAAAATAAAACGTATAATTGAATGGGCTATATAACTGTATACCAAAAAAAAAAAAATCCTGAATAAAGTGTGCAATTTTTATGATACGTTGTTGATTTTTTTTAATTTTTGTATGAAGTTAGAAATTTGGATTTATGTATATGGTTTTTGTTACAGAATGAACTACATATATTATTAGTCAATACTTGTCAATATGTGGGTTTCATATGGTTATGACAAGCACTATATTTACGTACATAAGCAAGCCGCATTCATATAAGATGGTAGCAAGCGCATATAAGTAAAAATCCCGTGTACTTTGTTATTGATTTTTGGTACTTTAAGGTGGTAAAATTAGAGAAAATAGAATAGAATTTTCTGTATTACTGTACTATTGCAGAGACAAAAATATCAAATCAGCTGTTCTAGTAACACCACCTTATATGAATGCGCCCTATACAGGCATAAGTACGTAATAAAAAACAGAACATTTTCTGTTGAAAAACTCCCTAAGTATATTTGAATAAAATGGTTATGCAAATGAGTAAATCAAAATGGATGCACCATGTGAATACATACATCACAAAATTCGTACACGAAAAAGTCAAAATATGTATAAGAAAATTGAGTTAGTAGTTAATTCGATGTATGTTTACAAAGTTCCCTCATAGATTACGTTTTATAAATAACAAATATTTTATTGTTGAAATGATTTCAATAATGAACACACAAATGAAATTAGAATTTTATGAAATACATTAAAGAACCGTGGTTTATAAGCAAAATATGTATGTTAACAGCGCTGTTATTGTGAAGTCAACTGCACCAAAAAGTAACTAAAATGGACTTGCCTTAATTGTTGAATTACCAAGCTTTGCGCTTGTTCGAAAAGACAATAATAATATCGTTGGCCATTGTTGAACGGCGTGCCGTACTAAATATGAACAAACGAAAACAAAACAAAAAACAAAAGCAGAAATAAAAGTTAAAATACAAATATAAAATATTATTAAGCTTATAGCAATATGTGGAATATTAAATAAAAAAAATGCATTTTAAGTAACTGTAACAAAAAGAAAAGTGAATGAACAGCCAATGAGTTGAGCGTGTACAGTTGTTTTTATAAAAGTTGCATTGACTATTATGCTAAAACTGTGTAAAATAAAATTACGACTATAGTTACTAGAAGCATACATTCATGAAAATTCTTTCACATTAACGAAGTGAGTTGCCGCAACTCGTTAACGTTAATGACTTTTAAAATTTTGTGCTATTAACGAACTGAAGACCCACAGCTGCTTTCCCTTTACAATTGTAAATATGAACACATAAAATTAATTAACTCTTCTAAAATAATAAGGGTATTCATGGAAACGCGCAAATGCCTCATAACCGCGTAAACCTCGTAAATATACCGATTTTTCACACAAAATTAAGTAAGTTTACGAGGTTTACATGGTTACAAGACATTTACGCGTTTAAATGATTTTCCCAAATAGCAAATTTATAATTTATACGCTGTTGTAATAATTTATTTTAATATGCAAACTGTAATGAAATTACCGTAAAACAAATACATAATGGAAAATTAGTCCCAATTAAACTAATTAATGTGTGTAGATTAAATAAAATTTTGAATGTGTGTTTTGATTAAATGAGTTCAAAATAAAGGATGCATGTAAATATCTACATTTAAAACTTGAAATGCAGGATAAATGTATGTACCATGAAAATAATATGGCGGAACAAAAATATATACATATGTAAATGTTGATGCAATGAATTTATACTCGTAAATGACTGCAATATTTCGTGATTTTTCTTATATAACTACGAAGCAGATAAACTGCGTACTTACAAAAGTGGAACAAATAGTAGATAATTCACATACATACATACATAAGTATGTGCAAATATTACATATTATGCAGTATCGACGCGGAAAACAAGATAAAATATTATTTATTATAAAATTCGAATTACGGAAAAGAGAATGCTTGCAGCGAGATAGACTCATATACAGCTGAATAAGAATATTACTACTTTTTTATTTGGCAAGCAAACGAAAAACTCTGATACCGTCTAGGACAAAAATATTTTCTTTCTCATAAGAAAGCTGATTAAATTTCAGTTAAAGATAAGCTTTCTAAATTCTCACATCTGCGAGTAAACATATGTTTTCAAACCTCCCCTTAGTGCTTCGAAAGCCTTGATTCGGTTAATATCCATCATACTATACAGTGAAAGCTCTCATACACGGACTTTTCTATAAACGGACGCGAACACTCAAACATGTCTGGTTTTGAAAAAAAAAACATCTCCCATAAGCGGGCGCGAAGCTCTAATAAGTAAGTGGTAAATTTTATTTATTTTTCAGTCTAATGTTAATCCTTGCGTATATTGCTGCTTGAGCGAAGCGGGCAATGAGATTTGTCGGTAGAAAAGAAAAGACCACAAATTTGAATTTACTTTCCATTCATTCTGTTTTTGTCTATTGAAGAATAAATATTATTTCAATTTAGAAAACCGCAATTTATATTTTTTAAATTTGAATTCGAATTTTATTTTCTATAAAATTCACATAAGCGGACATAACCTATAGACGGACAAAAAGTAAGCAACCATCGGTGTCCGCTTATGAGAGCTTTCACTGTAGGTAACTATCTCAGAGCTGAATGCATACGCACCTATTCATTTGAATAGGCACATATTTTTTTTTTTAAGAAAGAAGCTTGTATCGTTGCTTGTGGGCATCGAAGAAGCTAAATACTTGCTTCTTATAAGTTTATAGTTTCCTAGTTAGAAACCGAATCAACATTTTTATAGCCAAATAACAGTGTTGGGCAAATTTTAATTGTAAGGACCATTAACAATTAATTAATTAATTATTAATTGTTACCACTACAGTTAACAATTGGTTAATTGTAGTTGTGCAGAGTAACAATTAATTAATTTCGTAAGGTAAATTTATATACCAAAGTTCAAAAATGGTAGTGTTATGTTCATCCAGAAATTTTAGGCAGCTAAATATCAGTCGCATAATTACATAAGACAAAAATATTTTTTTGGTAGCTTAAATGAAAGTTAGTGACAAAATATAAAAAAATACTTTCACGCAAAATGTTTTTTTTTTATAGTTTTGAGACCACAGTTTAACTAATAAATCCATAAATATTTTGCTATTTTTTATTCCCTTTCTGAAGTTGACTGAATAACACTCCAACGCAACATTTTTTCTACTTACATACTACATATCCACGGAAAAAGGTAAATTTTATTATCGCTTCCCACAAACTAGCTTATGAGAAAGTAGTTCAAATAGAACAAAAAATGCTTCCAATACATACGTAAATACTTATTTTGGCTTCATTGAGTACCTATGTATGTATATAAATTAAAAAAGTTATAAAACATTTACACACATATTTACGTAAACTAAAGAAAAACCAGTGCAAGGAAGGAACCAATTTTACTTATGAATGCATATCGCACACGATCCTCAAAAGTGACACAACTCAAAATTACTATTCTAAACTATTTCGTAGCATATGGGCAAGTGGGACTTTACCTTAGGTATTTTCAACAAATTATAACAAAAATTTATTGCAGCTTTTGCTGAAAGGTTAATAAAGGCTCAGTGTAAATTTTTAGGTAATAATTTCAAAAATGCTAAGTTTTGAGTTGTGTCACTTTTGAAGACCGCGTGCGATATATGTAACTATTTGTATGTGCAAAAATATGTTTAGACTAGGGTGTTTCACAAAAAAAGGTCGCGGTTTTTCTACTGAAATTTTAAAATTTATTATATTTAAAGACTTGCGCCAAAACATTTCAGATAAATATTAAGATTTACGTGAGCTAGGGCGATTTGAAAAGACCTCCAAAGATCGAGATTTTTATAAATAAAATAAGTTTTCAAAAATATTTTTTTCTAAAATCACCTCAGATGATACAAAACAAAAATATATATTTGGAGGTATTTTCGAATGAATCCAGCTAACACAAATCTTAATATTTTTCCGAAATATTGTGACATAAGCATTAAAATAAAATAAATTGTACAATTCCGATGGAAAAATAATACCCTTTTTTTTTGTATGGAGCGTGATGCACTCTAATGTACACATTTACATATATAAATACGTATGTGCGAAAGTATACTATTATAAAAAAATTGCAAATCGAAAATAGAATAATTTCAGCAAAAATCCTAAGAAATTGTAAGCTCAGCTGTTACGCAAAGGAAAACTAACTAAGAATGTAACTGAAGCGACGAATACTAGTGCAAAGGAAAATGCTAATTGAATGAAAACAAATAAAAAAATCAACTTATTAAGAAAATACTTAAAACTCGTTTTATTTTTTCGGGAAATTTTTTATTGCAAGTATTTACTTACATATGTACATACACATATAAAAATATATACATAATGCATATTTATCTCTTCATCGAAAAAAAAAACTTCGCTCGCAAAATGAAAATATTTGTAATTGTTGGCAAAAAATGTTGCAATATACCCGCCGTATAAATGTTAGTATATTCATATAAAATATATATTTTTTTTCCTCTATAAAATCTCTGTTGAAATATTTATCTAATTATATATTTATTTACACATACACTCAAATATGTAATGATGAATCCTATTGCCAATACTGCACCTCCGATGGTGGCCATTCATTGATTTGCATTGGTTTCTGCTACTTTTTTAGCCCTCTGGCAGAGACGCAAAGACTTCATAAATAACTCGAAATTTTGTTTAAATGCTGCAATATGGTCGGTTTCCTTAGTGTCGGTGTTGTGGTCGTTGTAAAAATCATTCTCGTCACATAAGTTGGCAATATTTCGATTCATATACAATGTAATCGTCTCTTCATCCAAGCAATCGATTAGTTTCTCTGCACTCACTATACACTCGATTGCGCTGTTAAGAGCGTCACGTAGGCGTTGGAGCTGGGATGGATTGAGGAATTGATTATACAAATTTGTTTCATTAAGAGATATAGCATGTGGTTTAACTACACTATGTAACATATGTATTACTTCGGCATAAATGGCGCTGCGCTATTTGAGACCCACACATTTTTTTGTCGATGTAAAAGGTTACCCAAAAGAAAGATCGACGGAGACCTTGGCCTCACTGCCTATTCTAAGGAAACCCTATAGGGGCCTTATGATAGCAAATATAGACATTCATTTATGTATGTATGTATACTGGTACCTTACTATAGAAAGGTCATAAGTCATTTTCGTTCAAAATCCAGAATGGTACGTAAGTCCTATTCGAACTTTAAAATAACTGCTACAGCATAACATTAGTTGGAGTCTTAAATAAAATACAGCGTTTAAAAGGAATTTATTTATGGCTAAAGAATTAGATTTTCCATTAAATTTTTTAATCACCCTGTAAATAATGACAAATATACATATGTATATTATATAACGTATACAACGAGACGGCCTGGGTTCAAGCCCTGGTCAAAGCAACATCCCAAAAAATATAGAAAAAGGTTTTTTCCTAACAGCGGTCGTCCCTCGGCAGGCAATGGCAAACCTCCGAGTGTATTTCTGCCATGAAAAACAGCTTCTCATAAAAATACAATCGCCGTTCGGAGTCGGCGTAAAACTGTAGGTCCCTCCGCTTTGTGTGACAACATCAAGGCGCACTCCACAAGTCGGAGGAGAAGCTCCAATCCAATCTATTATTATTATTATACAACGAGACGACTCCGATCGATAATGTCCTAAAACAAAAGATGCTTGACGCGGCTGACGAAATGATGCAGTATCTAAGAACTAGCGTCGTAAAAACTAATTTAAGGAAAGTAATGACATTTTGCATAAGGAATAGGGAAAACTATGTCGGAACGTTTACTTTTTTAATTTAAGTTACTTTTTTAATTTAGGTATTATACCTCTTTGGATAAGTAAAAGAACATACTAGTTTTTAAAATAATTTACAGAATAGTTTCTATAATTATTTTTTTTTATTGATGTGAAGTAAGAAACATTTCGTCACCTGACTGGAAGATCGACATACATATCTCGGCAGCCAGTTCGAAAACGCCCGGTCTCAGAGAACTTTTCAAGAACACCCTCCTTCAGAATTTGATTGAAAAATGCGCTATCACAGAATCCGGTTGAAAAACGCCCTATCTCAGCTGAAAATACATTGAAAATGTGCTGAGATGGGACGCTTCTGAATCGGCAGCTGAAATAGGGCATTCTTCAACCAAATTCTGAGATAGGACGTTTTTCAACCAAATTCTGAAATAGGACGTTTTGGATTGAAATTCTGAAGTGGGGCGTTCTTGAGAAGTTTTCTGAGGTAGGGCGTTTTCGAACTGGCTGCCGCGATAGGTCGATAGGTATCGACTTAGGGCTGTTAATTTATCTATTTTAAAGTATAGTTAAATCTTTAGTTAAACTTAACTATATTGAACTTGAACAACACTTAAAAAACCAAAGACAGAGCACCAAAGAAGTAAAGAGAGGATCCTAGTTCGTGGTAGATGAGAAAATTTAAGGTCCAAACATTTAAAAGGCCACTGTTTTTGAATAAGGTCGAACTATATATGTAGACCTACATACATATGTATGTATATATCTATGTTGTTTTTTACCTCAAAATTCTTCTTTGCTTGCAATTGTAGATACATTAAGCACACATGTTCAAAACGTTTTTGTTCAATTTGATATTCATCGAGTAGATTGTCGTAACGCGCTTTTGCAGTCTCGGTTTCACAACGACTTAATTTGAGAAGCTTTTCCTTTTTTATAAGTTGGCGCCGGCATTGTTTGTATGAATTGCAGAGTTCATCATATCTGAAAAGTATTAAAGAGCCGCATCAAAAACAATGTAGTATAATTGAAGTCTAGCTGTTTGCCACTAATTTGGCTGAGCTTCTGCGCCGTATAATGTAAAGGACAATCAGGGGCAAACGCATTGGGTCTCATGGAAGTTAGTTTTGCATTGCCGTTCATACAGCAAACAATAATGTTTCAATTACACCAAACTATACCAATTCAAAACTATAAGAATTCATTCGTATGTGTAATAAGTGTCACTCTCCACCAAATTGGGATATACTGCAAAATATTAGCGATGGATTTAGAGCTATTATACTTTCAGATAACTTGTTAAATTCTGCGAAACACTTAGGGCCGCGCTATATCTACTCTAAGATATGGCATCTGAACTATATGACTACTTTATTATAGTTAGAAGAATGCGCTCAATTACTGACTGTTTACTGTTTTGAATAATCTTTAGTGCTCTTCGTGTGACTTTAACGACATTTACCTCTGTTGCAACAACAGCGGGCTTATCGATTCATATACGTCTGATGCCCGTGACCAACGTTCCGTAGCACCACATCGTGAAAGCGAATAATCCGGTTCATCATCTTCCGTCGAAGTAGATAGCTCAACACCACGAATTAACTCCATCAGTCGTACATTACGCGCTTTTTCATTATCCAAGGACTGGCACATATTCTTTAGTTTTTCTGTTTGGCGTTCGTAAGCCAAACGCAAATTGAAATCGCTCTGCTGATCTTCCAACAGCGTATTTTCAAGTTCACCTACCGTTTGGACAATTTGTTGAACGAGATTGTAGGCGAACGTATTGGGTGCGGGTTGATTGGCTGGCTGTGTGCGTTTGCTGGATGTGTGATTGGCTGTACCGGGTGCTACTGGCTCGCTGGATTGCAGTATTGGTGCAGGGAAAAGTGTTTGACTGCTGCAGCTGTTCTGGCTTTGTTTCCCTGGAAGTGAGAGAGGATAGCTGGTGTGTGCTACCCGAGGGGATAGCTCAATAGGCTCCGGTGTTGTCAAACGTTGTTTTGATGTCGAAGGTAGCTCATGAGCTTCTTGTTTTTCTGGAAGTAAGCGAGGGTAGCTGGGGCGCGGTACCTGAGGTGATAGTTCAAAAGGCTCTGCTGTTGGCAAGCGTTGTTTTGATGTTGAAGGTAGCTCTTGAGCTTCTTGTTTTTCTGCTTCGGATGCTTGCTCCCAAGGTAAATTAAATTGCCGATAAAGGTTTGCTTCAAAGGACATTATATGTATGCTTGCTACGTGGCTATGGCTAGTTGAAATCTCCTGGCCTTTTACAATTTTATTTGCAATTTTTTTCCTGATAATTATAGTGAAATCTCGTTGTTGTCCTGTTTGTTGTTCGTGTTGCAGTTCCTATATGTATTATTGGCCGAAATGTTGATGTAAATCGTCTACTTGCACACGAACTAATGTCCTAGTGGTACGAGGGCTATTACTGACTGAGTGACTGACTGAATTATTTCAGTTCAGTTTCAGTTTTGATGTGAATTTTCAAAAAATTATCAAAAATCACTTTTCATAAGACAAAGACAGGTACGCTGTCATATGTTGGAGTAAATAAAAAAGGGTGTCAAAGCCTATACATATTGAGCCAGATGAATAAAAATAAGTAATTGCTTTGGTGAAATTTCATAACTTTGACTTCAATTTTGTTTGAACAAATCAAGTAAGAGGTCTGAAATTTTAAGAAAAAGCAATTTTTCATACGGCCCATTAAGTATCTTGGAAAAAGTATAGTAAGGCAGCATAGCTGAGAGACACTTTTAAAATTCTTAGTTTAGAGGAAAGTTAAAGCAAAATCTTGTAATTCTTTGAGAGCTATAAAGTCTGTTTGTGTCTGGATTTACATCGAGTCGAGCTCACTTTTCACTTTTTGTTTCTATGTATTTAATATGGGCGGAATAAAAATTTTCGTGTGAATTCGAGCGAAACTCAGGATAAGGAAAAATAAACATCTAGCGCTTATACTTTGGGCCGTCATAGATTTCAGACTCGGCAACATCTATTTATTTTAATGCCGCACCTGTTTGACCCAGTTATAGATTTCTTTCAATGCACCCTCAATTACTTCCAAGAATATCTCCTGACTATATTTATTTTCCTTATTTCATTGAAATGGTTGAAATGTGTACATCCTGCAAAATTGTTCACAGTTAGACTAATGCGCCAGTTAATATATATCTTTGACTTATTTTCACTCAATGCCAATGCCCTTATTTCAACGTGGTGCTTTAGATTTCCATCAGGGCATCGAAGGCAAACGGAATCGTTGATAAACTAGGATCGTTTTGAAGGTAAAGCTTTTGTTGCCCTTTCAACCTACTGATTGGAGAATACTTATTTGTTCAAGAACGCCTCGTGTTTCATATAGATTCCAGTTTGGATTTCTGGAATTTATGAAGACTTTGATGTGGAAATTTAGTGAGAGAGGGTTGTTCTAGAGGAATAGTATTTGTCAATCAAATATCTGCACATTTTTGCCACAGATTTCCAATACATCTTCCGATGTCGGTTTATTGTAAGTATAAATATTACCCTTATTTGCTACATATGTATATGTATTACTGCAGTGAGCAAACAACTGGGACCCTCAGAGGTTGAAGTCAATATGAGTTTTGCCCACCTCCAGCCCGTCGATGCCCCCCAGTCATTGCCCGATTTCACCGATTTTCTGATGGTGGCTTCGATGGCCGAAGGTGGGAGTGCTATACTTGTTTGCCGACCGAGAAAAGCGTGGTCTGAGGTAGAGATGGGCACGGGCCTAAATTTTCAGGCCCGGCCCGACACGAGTGCAAAATCAACTTTTAAAAACACGCACGAGCCCGCACGTTAAGAGTTTTAGTGAGGCCCGGCCCGGAAATAAAGAGCCAACTTTTATTGTATGTATACATACATATGTAAATATTTTTAATTATGTGTTTATGTATGTATATTTACTTAAGCGAATCAATTTTTTACATCAACGATTTTTATAATATATTTTCTAAGAAGTAGAAAAAGTGGAAGGTATTTTATGTACAGATATGTAAACAAAACTATTAAGTATCTTGTTTTTTCTATCGGTTTCCAAATATTTCGTTTTTTGCTTTTCTCTTATCAAAAGAGTTTTAGTATGTACAATATTTTTTTTGTAAAAAAAAAACAAAAGATTATCTAAATTTGTAGTATTAGCAACGGGCTTTTTCGTGCTTATTCGTGCTTTTATGAAATTTTACTGAACGCCCATGCACGCACGAGTTCGTGCTGACAGCAAATATTCCGGCCCGTACCCGCGGGCTTACGCAGGAGCCCGGCCCGTGCCCATATCTAGTCTGAGGTACTCCCAAGTGACCTGGCACCCAGGTAAAGCAACATAATCTAGTCGAGACTTGCATTCCCGAACTGGCTTAGAAGTAGTTAGAGGGCTGGCCAATGCCCCAAGCGCAGCATGGCTGTCAAAGCAGGAACGTATTGGAAGACCGAAGCATATTACCCAAGAGAATAATAATTGGTCGAGGCTTTCTCTTCTTATAGGGTTTTCCAAAATCTCAAGTCTGGGCCAAGTTAATCCGAAAAGTTTAGGGTATGTTAGTAATCTAGTGTTCCCCACTTTTCTAGCACCAGTTAAGCTTTTGGTGGAAATAGGCTATCAAGGTGATAAATGCGAATTAAGTCAACTTTCAACTATGGAGAAAGTTTTCTTTGCCATTGTGCAATATGTTAAGGCCAGCGCAATGGTACTTTTTATGAGTTTGACTGTGCTGTTGTCATTTGAAGATCATAACGTTCATCATACCATCTTCTTCGACATTCGCAGTTAAACAAAAAAAAAAAA